GTCTAGAAGCTGCCCATCACCAGGCCTCAGCTGGACTGTCCTCTGGGCTGGCTCCAGAACCCCCAGTGGCTGCCGGCTGGGAGTCCACCAGAGACCAAGCCCCGGGTCCTCCTCACTGCAGCCAGGGTCCCAGGGTCGCTCTGACTGGTCAGCCTTGCGTCCAGCTGTGAACTGGTCCCTGTAGCCAGGGCTGGGCTGGGCTGAGGCCAGGCTGGCATCTCACGCTCGGCCTCCTGCTCTGCAGGGAAGGCTGGCACCAAGGGAAGCAATGGTGGAGAGCAGGGGAGGGTCTGCACTGGGGCCAGGCCCTGCAGAGGGTGGCCCTGACTCTCGGCATGTCCACAGCAGACTCCCAGGGGCACGGGAGGACTCAGACACCCATCAGGACCGACTCCCTCCTCTAAGTGGAGGTACGCCAGGTGCCAAGCGGCCCGGCGGCTGAGCCTCCCGTCAGGGCACGCCCTGCCCGTCCTACCCTGCACACCCAGCTCTGCCTGGCTTGGGCTTCCTGGGAGTGGATCCCGAAGCACGTGCCCTTGTCCTTGCTTTTCCACCACATGCTGCTGTGGCCAACCAGGTGCACACCCACAGGGTGCTCCTCCATGGGAGCACAGCCCACCGCCCGGCCCCTTCCGCTGTTCACCCAGCTCCTGTGGGGCCTCGGTTGTGTTTGGTACGTGGGATCAAACCCAGAGGTGCTTTATCACTGAGCTCCAGCTCCAGCGCTTTTTAAAGAATTTTGAGACAGAGCCTCCCTAAGTTGCTGAGGCTGGCCTTGAGTTTTCCATCCTCCTGCCTCAGCCTCCTGAGCTCCTGGGATTGCTGGCTAGTTCTTGTGCTCTGACCATGGCTGGGGTGCTTCTAGAACATTCTTGCACGTGCTGCTCGGTGCACCTGCCTCTGCGTTTCTCTGGCATTTTATCTGAAGATTAAAAAAATACCCACACGCTTCCCTTTCCAGGCCTTGGAAATTTCTTGGACTCAGAACTCCCTCTTCTCAAGCCTCCGGGCCTCTGACTTGCCCAACAGCATTCCTTAATCTCCATCCGAGGCAATAACATCGCTCAATGTGCCATAAAGCTATAAATTAATTATGCTTATTGCCTGGGCTGGTGTCTTCCAGGGCGTTTGGAAATGAAGTGGCCGGCAGGCTCGCACGTCTGCATGCAGGTATTCACAGCCACGTGGGCTTGCCGTCTGAGCCCAGGGCCGCGGGGGCATAGCTCGGCTGCTGGTGTCCCAGGTTGGAGGCCTGGTGGAGCACCCCTTCCTCCCCAGGCCTTTGTTGATCCTCCTGTCTCGGCCTCCCAAGCTGCTGGGATTACAGGCGTGTGGCACGGCACCCCACTCCCCAGCCCTTGTTATTTTTATTTAGAGACAGGGTCTTTCTGAGTTGCTTAGGGCCTCACTAAATTTCTGAGGCTGGTTTTAAATTTGTGATCCTCCTGCCTCAGCCTCCCGAGCTTCTGGGATTATAGGGGTGCACCACCGTGCCCGTCTCTCTTTATTTTTTATTCTTAGGGTCTCGCTAAGTTGCAGAGGCTGGCCTCACATTTGTGATCCTCCTGCCTCAGCCTCTGCAGTTGCGTGGGCCAGGACGCCTGGCCTGACGTTTCCTTGTTGACCAGCTCCAGCTCCGGTGTAGAGCTCTGGTTTAAACACAGTCAGGAGGCCTCGGCAGCTGTGCGGAGAAGCACACTGCGCGCAGGGCAGGGTGTCGGGAGGTGGAGATGGGCCAGGCTAGAATGCGTGACCTGGGAAGGGGAGCAGAAGGACTTGGGGAGGACAGGTGACATGACCCTGGCTCTCACCTCAGACTGGTTTGAGAAGAGCCGTGGGGGCCAGGATCGGAGGTGGGAGGTGCACGTAGGCCTGAGTCAGGGTCACCACTGGCAGGGGAGGAGGGGCTGGTGGCTCTAGGAGGGGGACCTGGGACCACACGTAGACCATTTTGAAGTGTGCGATTCACGGGCATCTTGGCCGTTCATGCTATCGCAGGGTCACTGCCTCTTTGATTCCAGAGCACTGTCACTCCCCCAAGCAGACCCTGTGCCCATTAACTGTCACCCCTCTCTCTGTCCCCCAGCCCCAGGCAACCGCCAGTCTGCTTCTGTCTCTGAGCATCTGTCCCTTCTGGAGCCTTGGGACCCGGGGAGGCTCCTTGTCCACTCTGTTCCTCGGGCGGTGGCCGCGTCTGCGTGGGCTGGCGTCTGCCCGTTGGGTTGTCGATGGTGGGTTCGGCCTCACGTTTCTGTGTGGGGATTTCCACTTGGAGGGTGC